GACAACGCTTTGTAAGTAGGTGACGAGCCGCGGTGGGCTGTGTCCCGCGCGGTCTCATCGTCAGGGAAGACGCTCTGCGGAGAGAAGCGGGGCGACTGGGTGCGCCCGGGCGGGTGCCGCAGGGAGGGACCGGTCCGCGCCCGTCCAGCATCCAGCGTCCAGCGGACTGTTTGTCTGGACACTCCTCCCAGTCCCGAGCCAAGGGTTGGGGGGATGCGGGGCACTGCTAACGCTTTTAGCAATAGCGCTCCAGGAACGAGCACCGTTTATTGGTCGCAACAAGTGACGGCCCCCCGGCCCCTTGCCCCAGTGCTGCAGAGGCTTTCCCACCCACCATCCCTCCCACGCAGCAGCGGGACCTTGTCCAGCCGCCCGCCGGGGAGGCGAAAACCGACGGCGCAGGCGAGTGGTGCGCCCCCGCCGCTCCAGATCCAGCAGCAGAGGCTCGGACACTGAGGGAACCCCCGGCCCCAAGACGCGTGCTTGAGGGCCCCGAGGCTGGCCCTTCTGGTGCCTGGCTATGCGCGCCCCTGTTACAGCGCCTGGCAGCTAGGGTCCTGGGATTACGCGCAGGGCTCTGGGGGTGCTCTCGGAGGGAGGGCCAAGGGGCATGGGGGCGGGGAACACGTCGAAGGGAGACAAAGATGCGAAATAAGCAGAAGAGCGGACACCAGGTCTTTGCAGCGGGCAGCCCACCGTCAGTCCCGGAGGAGCGCGGGGCGACGCTGCTCGGGGCAGGAGCAAAGGTGCCCACTGCGCTAGGAACCCTACGATGCAGAGAGAGTGGTAGAAGAGAAGGAGGGCGCGGCGGGCCGGGAACCCTGGCCCCTCACCTTGCGGGGAAGCTCGGCATAAACGTCTCTAGATCTCAGGGAACTGGCCACAGTGTGCCCCACCATCCTGGGCCGCTTTGGGGAGGACCCCGCGGTGGCTGGAGGATGCTGCCTCCCCAAGCCAGGGTGGGTATGCCTTCGCCCGGTGCTTCCTATACGGCTAAAAGAAAAAGAACATTCTTATTCCCCCTTTTTTATTCCCTGTGGGGGCAAGACGTAAGTGACTGATAGGAATTCAATTTCCTGGAAAGTAACGCCCGGACCAGTGGGTAACTTGGCCGGAGCAGAGGGGTTCTCGTAGCCAAAGTCATCGCTAAGCGCCAGAAATGGTTAAGTTTTTGCACGTTGTGAAACGTATGGCTGTGGCCAGGGTTTGAGTTACAAGAAGACAGCCAGAGATCGCTGCACTCCACCTCCACCTTCGGTCCCTGCCAGTCGTTCCCTCCTCTTGGCCTATTCCCACCTCTGAACGGAATGCGACTTGCCAGCCCAGGTGTTGAAGTTGTGCCTCAGCAGGGGGGTGGGGGGAAGACAGCAGGGACAGGCAGCATTGCAGCCCAGCATAGGACGCGCTTTTCTTGTGGTGGGTGCTCCTTGGAGTAGAGGGTTCTGATCCCAGTTGTGTACCGAACGCCCAGGGACCACCTCCCTGTCGCCACAGGTAGAGACCTCACAAAAACGTTTGTGAATGGCTCTCTGTGCCGACTTTCCAGGAATAACACTGAAAAGCCCTACACTGAAACATGTGCTTCCGGTTCTCTGGGAGGCTCTTGGTTCTTGTGTAACGGTTGTGGTTACACACTACTGGCTATTTAAGCTCTGGTTTCCAAGAGTTGATGTTATGTTAGGAAATGATAAAGTCTGAAGCAGTGGTTTAAGTTATGTGTGTGATGCTAGCAGATATTTAAAATATACTCAGAGATTATAATTCTGAAATTTAACTTTTTAATGACATCAGCAAATAACAAAATTTCTTCTTCTTGGGACCATTCCAACAATTAAAGGATGGCTGCTGCAAGCCCTCCTAAGTGAATATTATAAAGAAGTGGCTGCACAGACCTAGTTTGGGAATGATTCATTTCTGCCAGGAATTATAATTGCTTCCATTTATGATGCTAACAATAGGTAAAAGATTTGGGGCTGATTCAGCGATCTCGCCCTTCCCATTAAGGCAAGAATATGTAGCTTAATATTTGAAACCTACAGTGGCATGAAACAGACCAGATCTCCATTTTATTTTGTGAGGTTTTTTCTACTAAGGACTTTTATTTTATTGAAACAGACCAGATCTCTGTTTTATTGTGTGCGGTTTTTTCTACTAAGGACTTTTATTTTATTTTTTAATTAACCCCAGCTTCCACAGAAACCAGTTTAGATCAGCTTCTGAAGAAAACCAGGAAAAAATAAGCACATTGTGTTTAGCAAGGTTAATTGAATACGACTGTATAGATCTAAAGGTCAAATATCTAGTTGACTCTTTAGAATCAAAGTTTAAAGGGTCTAAATTCAAGCTCATTCTCTGGAGCTACTCCACACATGTTAATGGTATTAAATAAATCCTTTAGTTCATTCATTTAATAGACAGTTAGGGTAAGTATTTTGTGCCAGCCAGTCTGTTGGCCGTAGAAGATTCAAAGAGGAGGACATCTCTTAGGTCTCAGGGATTCTCAGGTGCTAACACTGGGGTCTGGTGGTAGAAAACCAGGGAGCTCCCGAGAGGACAATTGAAGTCAGCTTGAGAGGAGTATCAGAGAAGGCCTTCTGGTGAAGGAGCTATAGTCTTGTCAAAATTTTTATTTATTTCATCATCTTTCATTGTAAAAGTTAACACATGCTCATTGTCATAAATAAACCGAAAGCAAACTTGATAAATAAAAAATAAGCATGCCTACATAAGTGTTGATCCCCAACCCTATGGCAGCCTCACCACATGAGCTTGCTAATGTTTGGTGTATAATTTTTCAGTCTTTTTCATATATATGTTTATACATATATACAAATAAAATCCCCCTTTTCAAAAAAATAACAATAAAGAATAATACTCATTTTCTATAATTTGCTATTTCAAAAAGAAAATCTTGAAGAAAGTTCCCAGTGATCTCCTGCTTCCTCTCATTTACATCCTTGTGTTCACAGCTTTGTGTTAACTCCCCCCACCTGTCACAGGGTTGGTCTGTGTGACCAGGAGAATAGGCAAAAGTGATGGTACATCATTTCTGAAAATTAAAAGACCGAGGTTTCCATTTTGAATTTTGAATTTTTTTAGAGAGATTTTTGCTGTAGGGCACGTGTGCTCACTGCAGAGACAGAGGGAGACAGAGAGACAGAAAGCAGGAAATCACCCCCCTAGAGGGGACTGCCACAGGATTTTGGGCACACATGCACATGCACCTGGTGTGAGTTTCCAGTCATCAGGTCTGGAACTCAAACCACCGTTGGTCATACGAGAGTCCAGTGACATAGCCATTACTCTAACTGCTGGTACCTTCATCTTGAATATTTTTTTCTTTTGTATCACTTAGTCTGGGAGAAGCCAACGGCCATGTTGTAGGGACACTCAGCTCAGACTCCCACAGGATGAGTTACTGAAGCCAGTTAACAAACATGTGAATGACTTTGGAAGCTAACCTTGACGCTCCAGTGACCACTTAACTACAACCTCTTGAGAAAATACGAGCCAGAACAACTCTGCTAAGCTGTTTCTCAGTTCCCGTTGAGACTGAGACAAGAAGTGTGTGCTGCTTTAAACTGCTAAGTTTCCGGTGATTTGTTACGTGGAGATAGATATCTAGTACACTCATCAATAGCTATGTATTTTCCCACATCAGGATCCATTATTCTTTTAAATAACTGCTCTTAGTAGATACCTTTCTCCTGTCAACAGGCATTCAGGTTTTCCAATGATGTGATACGTTTATATTTCCATACCTCTGCAAGTACCCTGGGAAGAGAGAGGCAGGGAATCCGAAAAGTGGAACTGCTGGGTCAAAGGATAATTTAAAATCTTGTTTTATTGCCAAATTGCCCTCCAAAAAAGTATATTGCAGTGCAGTGCTTTCACTTTAACCAATATTGAGTATTGTTCATATTTTACATGTTTGCTAAACTGAGCAGGAAAAAAACAAGATCTCATTTTAATTTGCATTTCTTTGTCATCCGTGAGAGTCTGATTGAACCTTTTGGAGTGTATTAAACATTTGGCTTTCTGTTAGGTTATCAAAAAAGTCGATGCATTTTTGCATAGATAAAATACATCATGGCTTTTTCAACTACCCAATAGTTTTGTGACTTGTCTACTGATATCCTTTGTCCACTTTTTTGCTTGTTGTCATCTTAATGATTTTTAAGAGCTCTTTATAAATTCTGGATATTGGCCATTTGTTACATGTTGCAAATCTATCCTTCCAGATCCTCTTTTAGTTTCTCCAAAAGTGTTTCACTATTTTTTAAATAGTGCCTGACTTGCTAAGACATTTTTTAGAATAGTTTTTTACTTTATGATTATCGTTATTATTTTTAATTTGACCAGAGAGAAAGAGAGAAAGTGAAAAAGAAAGCTACCAGGCCCCAGACTCGAACCACAGTCAGACATCTGGGAGTCCAGTGACTTAACCACCATGCCACCTGCCAGCCCATTTCACTATTTTTTTTTTATATTGATCTCTTTAGTTATTTCACCTGACTTTTAAATGATGGGGAACAACTTTAGCAAGTTAAGAGCAAAGCATCTAGACACACAGACTAGCATCAGCAAAAATAGACATGAAAACCTGCATTATTTCCATGGGGAATTAGGGAGCGCACGGTGTGGCTGGAGCAAGTGTGTACAGAGCACAGTGTGGCAGAGACCAGCAGGGACTAGCTGCCGAGCACTGTAGTTACCTGGCTAGTGAGCTTGAACTTTGTCCGTAGACAATCTTATCAGCACAGAAAGATTTTACACTGAAACTGATGTAATCGGATTACATTTTTAGACTGGTCTCTGGCAGCTGTGTTGAGGAGGGTGGATGTAGGGAAGCGGGCTTAGAAACAGACATACCTTTTGGGGACCAGCTGTGATCACTCAGAGAAAGCCAATGATCACCAGAACTGGAGCAATGGTAGCTGGATTGAACAGACGAGACAGAATGGAGAAACATTTAGGGAGTAAAAGAGACGGGATGTAGTGATGTTTGTATGTGCGTGGGGTGGGGGTGGGGGGTGGAAGGGAGGGAGATAAAGGAACAAGGATGGTGTTTAGGTCTTTAGCTTGACCTACACTGGTCTCTTAGCTTGTGTCTTGATTGGCAACAAATGAAAAAAGTATGTGCGGGAGCAAGCTAAGTTCAATTGGAACAAAATGAGTGCAAGGGCTGTGGGAGACCCAGCTAGGGGGCAGGAGGTACGAGTAATGGGAAGTGATACAATTAAAGTGGATTAGCACATTCAAGCAAAGGCCTGCTAAGTAGGAAACTGATGAAAGTTCATTTTTCTAAGTGCCAAATTATAGCTAAAACATACAGCTAAGAGATGCCAAAGGCAGAAGGGACAGCTGGCTCTCAGCCTGGCTCTCCCTGGCAATGATGGACCGTAGTAGGTCGTGCTAGACAAAGCGCCCGCTTCTTCGCTCTTTACACTTGCAAACTCAATTCTGTCAGTTCTCTCAGGAATGATCAGGATCTAGTTGCCAGAGTTCCTCATCTTGACTGTTTCTTAGTGGGCCACGTTCTGTTCTTTAGGAAAAGGAGGGCAGGTGACAGGACCAGGCGTTTGGATTTAGTCATTTCAGACTTCAAATTCCAGTTTTGTTACTTTCCAGATATGATGACTCCTGAGAACCTTGGCTTCCTTGTCTAGAATGCAGGGAGGGCTGCCTTGAAGGGATGCTACAGTTTAAAGACTAAGAAGGGTAACATATATAAAGCACCTTACACAAGGTCCTGATCATAATGGATACCTGTAAATCCCCTTCTCCTTCATCCAGTTTTATTGTCACTGGAGGTGCAGGAGGAACTTGGGGAGTTACAATGAAAGCTGTCAGATCAGAAGCCAGGAGACAAATGCCCACTTCCTAGGATCCTGGAGGAAATGACTTGGTTGTCCTCTCACATCCAGAAGCTGCTTAGCTTGTGAGACACCAAGAATTCAAGTCTTAGGCATTTTTGTTCAGCAGAGAATCCAGCTCTGTTCCTTCTGGTTCTGCAAATGTAGCTCCAGGGAACCTAGGGATCAGCATTCACCCACACTCTTCCACACTGATAAACGCCAAGACCCTGAGTTGCCAGTGGGAACTAGCAGTTAGTGTAATGGCTATGTCGCTGGACTTCCACGTAGTCGACCATGGTTCGCGTCCCAGACCCGGTGGATTAAAGCTCACGCCAAGCGCATGTGCATGCGTGCCCAAGATCCCGAGAGGAGAATAGAGGAGAAGGGATTGCGGCATGACCATCCTCCCTAGGGGGTGATTTCTCGCTTTCTGTCTCTATGTCTCTCTCTGTCTGGCGAGCACACACGCCCTATAGCGGGGAAACAAAACAAAACAAAACAAAAAAAACTCTCCTAGAATGACATCACTGTTCTAAGCATCTCTAATATTCCTGAGAGGGAGGGAAGAAAGTAAGTTCAGAGAGATGTTAGTATTTAAATCAGTTTTTCTTTCAAATGATATGTTGTAGATTATTTTGCAAGTAAAATTTCTTGTATTTTAGTAGGTAAAGAAATCATTTTATGGGAACCAGCAGTTAGCGTAATGGCTATGTCACTGGACTCCCATGTAGTCGACTGTGGTTCACGTCCCAGACCCGGTGGCTTAAAACTCATGCCAGGCACGTGTGCATGCGTGCCCAAGATCCCGAGAGGAGAATGGAGAAGGGATTTCGGCGTGACCATCCCCCCTGGGGAGTGATTTCTCGCTTTCTGTCTCTATGTCTCTCTCTGTCTGTCTGGCAAGCACATGCACCCTATAGTGAAAAACCTCTCTGAAAAAAAAAAAAAAAAAAAGAAATCATTTTATTTTACTGTAAATATGGGCTGAGTCTAGTAATTTTTTTTTTTGGGGGGGGGCGAGGTTTTTGCTATAGGGCATGTGTGCTTGCCAGAAAGACGGAGACAGAGACAGAAAGCGAGAAATCACCTCCCAGGGGGATGGCCACGCCGCAATCCCTTCTCCTCCATTCTCCTCTCAGGATCTTGGGCACACATGCACACACACACACACACACACCCAGCGTGAGTTTAAGTCACCAGGTCCGGGACTGGAACTGCAGTCAGCTACATGGGAGTTCAGCAACATAGCCATTACACTAACTGCTAGTCCCAAGTCGAGTATTTTGAGAGGTCTGTTAGAAGTTGTGCCGATACAGAGGACACCACTGTGGACCCAACTGTTATGATGTCATTGTTCACACAAAGGGAGGGAACCAAAAATAAGCGCTGTGGCAACTAGACCCTTACCATGCTCATCACTGTGACAACCCTAAGGATGTGGCTGGGCAGCTTGTGCATTGCAAGCCCTTGTCACACAGTATCCTCTTTACCTGGCCCTTCAAAACCAGTTAGTACTGCTGATCCAAGAACCAGAAGGAATTTTACTTTTTCCGAGATAATTCATTCATTTAACAAATATTTACTGAGCAACTTACATGTGTCAGACACGGTACTGCTAGGGCCAGGCCTGGCACTACAAGAGTCCATGCCCTCGGGCTATTGGCACTAAATTGTGTAAACAGGTTTCCCATTTACGAGGCTAGAAAACTTAGTAGTGTGTAGGCCAGTTATAGGACTCTGAAGTATATATTTTCAAGTCCAACTTGTGTCTCCAATTTGTATCTTTTATTCCACCTTTTAATTTATACCATTTTTTCTAAAGGTTTTCTTGCCATAGGATGTGTGTGCTCACTCTTTCTAGAGAAGAAATAGATAATGAGAAGTGATAAATCATCCCCCAGGGGAGAGAGCCACACCACAAGTCTTTCTTCATTCTCTTCTAGGGATTTTTGGGCATATATGTACACACGTCTGGTGTGATTTTCAAGCCACCAGGTCTGGGACTTAAACCATGGTCAGCCATGTGGGAGTCGGGGCCTTAACCACCATGCCACCTATTGGCCTCATGTCATCTTGTTTTTGTAGCGTAAGCTTTCTTAAATTTTTTTTTAAACAAGTAAATAAATACATGTAGATAAGACAACAATATGCATATATTTTATTTCTGCTGATTATTACAAGTATATTTTGTTCTTTAAAAATTCTCAAAAACTAAAGAGTTTAATTACAACTTTCGCCATTTGTTACATTTTAATATATAAAAATATAAATGTTATGCAAAGTGGTTTGTTTTACTCATTTTTCAACTTTCAACTTTCATTTTCTCAGTACCAGCACCTAAACATTTTCATTTTTTATGAAAGTTTGATTTTTCCATGAGTTTGAGAGACAGAGAGACAGAGAGAACTGCTCACACGGTCTTGACGCTTCGATTCATCCCTAGATCCCAGGCAAGCACATGCCCGCTACTCAGGGAGGTACCTTTCTATGTGAGATTGCCTCACAGAGCGTCATGTTTTATGACTGTGCCAATGTCAGGCCTCAACCTAGAGATCTGTTAAGGAGAATTAGGGAGGTAGGAAAAAAGGCTTATAGCATTCCTTAGGACAATAGCTAGGAGCCTTGGTAGAACTTAAGACTTTGAAAAATTTTTTTTGATAGCAGAGAAGCAGGAAGACAGAAATATAGTATCATGGGTATACTATCTAAAAAGATTTGAATAAGTGTAAAAAAAGAAAAAACCTCTTAACTCACAGGACTCCGATGTTTTAAAGCATAGTTCTGGTCCTTGAGAGAATCTCATTAATTCTGTCAAACACACAATAGATGCTCAATAAATAACTACTGAATAAAATCTATATTAGAGCTCTGTTACCACAGATATATCTGTATTACATGTAGTATTATATACATATATAGAATCTATTAGAGCAACCTTGGGGATTTCATAAAATGATAATGATCAAGAGATAAGAGTTTATTTTGATTTTATTAATAGAAGTGATTATATTTTACATCAAAATTTACATAAATTAAAAATAAACTATATCATTATCAATATAGCCTACTGATCACCCATACTTTAATCCACTTTATAATTCAAAGGTTACACTTAACAGATATTACAACATGTACCATAACATCAAATACTCCTTAGGATCTTAAGAAATATGGCTTATTTACCAGGCTAACAAACGAGCCAGTCTTTATCAGCCACCTCAAAACTAATTCCAGAAAAACTCTAAAAAATTTGTAATCTGAATAGCATACAGAAGCATCATGTTTATGTTTTTAATAGTTCACTTATTTGCTGTTAAGTCGTTTTTCAGCCAATATCCTCTGGTTTTGGACAGAGTCGTTATTTCAAGC